ATAATAGAATAACTGCCTTTCAAACCAAACCTTTATACTTCAAGTTATAATTGTTAACCGTTTCAACTTCTCAACGTTGATTAAAAAAAAATACTTTGTTTTTATGTTTGATTTGGGCCAAGTTCCTATCTAATTGTTTGTTGGGTTAGAGCTGGTTCGGCCGTTGAGTTAAAAGGGAAATCAATTTCCTTTACACTCCTACGCGTTTCGACGCATGTCGCGCCTTTCTCAGGGAGTCTGTTTTTATTAGAATGACAAAACAATAAACATGAAATACAATAGTTTGGATATTACATTTAACATCGAACTCACATTTTATAATAACAACATTTATATCACAGGAAATAATTTTTACATTAGCACCCATCAATTATTTTGTTTATGCTTTCGCTGACGTCCATTCCTACTTTGAATAACAGCTGTGTAAGCGCTGTTTGTGCTGTCCACATATTCTTTAAAATTCATCGTATTGTTACGCTGCTGCTGTATGTGGAGACTTTCAAATGTCATTCGTCTTCTTTCTCTTCTTTCTACATCTAAGATCATCGTATTCGCGAAGTCAGCTGTGTGTTCGTTGTTGGTCAGGTGTTGGGGCAATGCTGGTGTCATCTTTTTGTTTTTTGCGTCCATTTCGTGCTCGTGGATTCTTATGCTTATCGCGCTTTTCGTAGTGCCAATGTAGCATTTATTACAGCTTTCGTTTCCTTTGCCTTTGCAATTTATTTAATACACCACATTGCTATGTTGTTCCTTCTGAACTTTGTCTTTTGTTTTTGTATAGATTCTATGCAGTGTGTTATGAGGTTTGTGAGCGTATCTAATTTTCTCATTTCTCAAGATCGACCTATCTCGGCAGCCGGTTGAAAACGCCCTATCTCTGAAAACTTTTCAACAACGCCCTACTTCAGAATTTTATTGAAGAACAACCTATTTAAGAATTTGATTGAAAAACACTCTATCTCAGAATTTTGTTAAAGAATTCGGGTCAATAACGCCCTATCTCAAACGAAAATGCATTGAAAATAAGCAGAGATAGGGCGCTTTTTAATCGGCAGCTGAGATAGGGCGTTATTCAACCAAATTCTGAGGTAGGGTGTTTTCCAACCAAATTCTGAATTGGAGCGTTCTTGACAAGTTTTCTGAGATAGAACGATGTTGAAAAATTTTGTGAGATAGCGCGTTTTCGAATTGGCTGCCAAGATAGGTCGATCTCAGCCATCGAATTATTCTACGTAGTGTTTGATTGTTTGTTAACCCTGGTATGTATGCTACGCCTATGCACTTTTTTTTGTCTTTTCTGGGTGATTTGGGCGTGGAGTTTTGTTGAGTGTTCCAACCATTATCCTTTCTTTTAAGTTGCGCGGGTAGCTATTTCTGAAGAGTATATCGCGTATTTTATTGTTGTTTTCTCTGTTAATTCTTATGTCGCTTATGCTACGTATTTTTTGTATGAGGCTTTTGGCAGTGTTAATTTTTTGTCTCCATGGGTGATTAGAGTGATAGTTTATTACTCTTCCCGATGCAATTGATTTCGTATACCAATTAAAAATTAAGTTGTTCTCATTACGATGTATTTCTATATCTAGGAAGGCCATTTTTTTTTATATTCTTTCTCTGTTGTGAATTGGCGTCAGTATATCTTCCACGTCTTTGATTTTGACTATTGCTAATATATCATCTACATATTTGTTTGTGTGTTTAATATACATGTCCTTACGTTTTAATTCAGCTNGTTACGATGTATTTCTATATCTAGGAAGGCCATTTTTTTTTTATATTCTTTCTCCGTTGTGAATTGGCGTCAGTATATCTTCCACGTCTTTGATTTTGACTATTGCTAATATATCATCTTCATATTTGTTTGTGTGTTTAATATACATGTCCTTACGTTTTAATTCAGCTATGCTGTCGTGTAATATTTTGTCAAGTACAATGTCTGCTATTGTTTGAGATAGTGGGTTACCCATTGGCATACCATAAATTGGTTGGTAAAAAGTATTGTTGCATATAAAATAATTGTTGTCCCGTAAACAAAAGTCTAGTATTTTCTGAAACTATGTTTTCCCAATTTTTGTGTGATTCTCCAATTTTTGCCGCTTCTGAATAATCTTTTGTATCGCTAGATATATCGGGATATTTATAAATAATGACACGACGTCGAAAGATATCAAGATTTCATCTTCTTCTATGGTGATGTTTTGGAGTTTTTCTTTGAGTTTGTATGAGTTTTTTATGTTATAATCCTCGGATATAATGTTTTATAAAATACTGCCAATAAATTTTGATAATTTGTAGCAAGGAACATTTGTGGAATATGATATCGGTCTGAGAGGTGTATTTGGCTTGTGAATTTTTGGGAGACCATATAGTCTAGGTGCACTCGCAGCCGCATACGTCAACTGTAACTTTTGTTTTACATTGATCTTCTTTTGTTTGTAAACGTCATTAATAATGGCATTGCTTTTTCTTAATAATTTTTGGGTTTGATCATTCCGTATAGTTTTGTACGTTTTCTTGTCACTCAATAATTCACTCAGTTTTGATTTGTAATCCCCTTTATACATCATGACCGTTTTACTGCCTTTGTCTGCGTTCGTTATTATTATTTGGTCTTTGTATTGGTTTATGAATTTTCTGGTATTCATATATGTTTTTAATAAGAATTTTTCTTTTGTGTTGTTGTTGATTTTTTGGAAAACGTAATGATTTTGGCTGCAATATTGCTTCTTACCATATTTTTTCTCTGTCGTCTTCGATCTCTTGTATACCTTGTTCTAAATCTGCAATAACTTCGGTAGGTGAAAACATCTTTCTTGAAACAGCAAATCTATTGCCAAGAGAGAGTAGCAACCGATATTCCTGTGACACTTGAATTTCAGTTTTGTTTATGAACCATTTTTCATTATACCTAATGCCAAATTTTGTCGCATTCTTTGAAATCTGATTGTGGAGTTTATTATAATGTGTTTGTTGTGTATCCATTGCGATTTTATTTGAGAATTGTTTTTGGCTTTCAATTATTTTGATGTATTATGGAACGAATTTCCGTCATCCCTTGTCAAATTTGGTTTGGAGACAAACCGGTTTCGGCGTTGTGCCATCTTCAGTGTCATTTTTCGTTCTCCTTATTATTTTCTTAAACTCTCTTTCATGAAGCTTGTTTTGTAGTGTGTCTTGAATGTGTTTCATAGTTGTTGCTATAATTTTAATATTTATGTTGGCTCCTTTAATTTCAAGGTTGAGGACTTTTAAAAGGAATATTTGTTCTCCTTTTTTCAATTCCCGACGAGAGGTGTCATGTTTGAAACCGTGTATGAGTTTTTTCGTTTTTCCCTGTAAATGCGGTGGTGTAATGCCGTAGTCCTTGCATTGTATTAGAAATTTTAGTCTTTCTTTCTGTTTAGCTGGTTTTTTACCGTTTTTGGTGTACTATTTGATAGTGAAACATGTTTCGTCGTTGTGTTTTAGTTTAGTATGTTGATAAAAATGCTTCATATTTATTGCTTGGTTATTTTTTGTTGCTTCGGGTTTGCTCACCGATTTTGATATTTTTATGTTTGATTTGGGCCAAGTTGCTATCTGATTGTTGGCTGGGTTAGAGCTGGTTCGGCCGTTGAGTTAAAAGCGAAATAAATTTCATTTACACTCCTACATGTTTCGACGCATTTCGCGCCTTCCTCAGGGAGTCTGTTTTTATTAGAATGACAAAACAATAAACATGAAATACAATTTTGATAATTTGAATATTACATTTAACATCTAACTCCCTTTAATAATAATAACATTTATATCACAGGAAATAAATTTTACATTAGCACCCATCAATTGTTTTGTTTATGCTTTCGCTGACGTTCATTCCTACTTTGAATAACAGCGTTTGTAGCGCTGTTTGTGCTGTTTTTGTTTGAAAATTTAAGGGTCATACTGTATGTTGAGGCACATCAGTTTCTTGTTTTGAAATTTTGAAATTCCTCTGGAAGTTTAAGTTTTTTAAGATCTTATAATATGCTTTCGAAGCCGCTGAATACATAAGGAGAGTTAGTTTTTCGATCCGGCTCTTACCTTTTTAGATAATACGATAACTAATAAATAAAAACAGAAAAAACCCTTCTTAGAAAAAAATTATTTAATTTTACTTTAGTGATGATATGTATAGCCATAACCTTATCGAACAAAATGAATAATCGCAGAGGATTTTACGTTCATTACTTCTCGAGATATCGGCAAATTATTGAACCTGAATCTAGATGTGTGGCTGATGCCTGTATTTAAAAAATGTACTGCTTTAAAATTTCGGACTTTGGAAATTTTTTCGAGGTGTTGTCGGATATTTTCAACGTCGTAAGAAATAATCACATTTTAAAGTTCAATTTCGGGTTTTTTTTTTTGTTATTTATTCGTATTATCTAAAAAGGTAAGAGCCGTATCGAAAAAATAACTCTTCTAGTGTATTCAGCGGCCTCGAAAGCATATTATAAGATCTTAAAAAACTTAAACTTCCAGAGGAATTTCGCGTGCGCACGGATTGAAGGACGAATAATTTTAAGCAAAACAAAAATGGACCTGAACGACCTCTAAATTTTATTATTATTTAAATCAAGTTATGTAGTTTAATTTTTTACCAAAAGGAACACAAATTTGCGTGAGCACTGAATAATATTTAAAAAAAAAGGATTTCGTGGACCATTCTAATGTACATACATTCATATGTANAAAAACTTAAACTTCCAGAGGAATTTCGCGTGCGCACGGATTGAAGGACGAATAATTTTAAGCAAAACAAAAATGGACCTGAACGACCTCTAAATTTTATTATTATTTAAATCAAGTTATGTAGTTTAATTTTTTACCAAAAGGAACACAAATTTGCGTGAGCACTGAATAATATTTAAAAAAAAAGGATTTCGTGGACCATTCTAATGTACATACATTCATATGTATACAACATTCCGATTCTTTAAAGTTTTTAGATTTTATTTTAATTATAACGTAATACATACCTCTCTGTCAAAATTTATATCAGTTAGTTCTTCAGGTTGTGTTGCATGTCCTCGGGTTAAAGAGTCAAAGTTGTCGCCAATTTCTATTACGGCTGGTCGGTTCATCCAATCACTCAATCTTAGGGACCCCAAAACTGATCGCAGCTCAGAAACCAAACTATAGGTTATATATAAAATATGTATTTGTAAGCCTATATATATACATGAATATTTATAGTATGTTTTATGTTTGATAGAGAGAGAGAAGGTTACGACAGCTGATTATTTTTCCCCATCCTTTTATTATTTTCTTTTTAGAATCACTTTCAAGGTTTTGAAATATATACATATATCTAGGAGCTAGAACGTGAAGTACTTTAAATAGTTTATACTTTGTTATTTTGTATTCAAAACAGGGTTTGAAAAACTGTGTATCAGTTATCAGTGTAAGCCGCTAGTGCATTTATGCATGCAGTGGTAATAATATTATTTATGCAAATTTGATGCTTAATAGCAAGGTGATAGTCAAATTGCTGCTGCCGCGCTTTCTTTGTGCTTTCACAAATTGCTTTAGAACCACAAAGGTTTTTTGTTTTTGTAGCTGTTTCGTGGTGAAAGTCCTTTACGGGGACCAACTATCCCCACAAGAAATTGAGAGCATGGTTACTTTTGCATGCCAAAAGAACGAATATTAGAAAACATTGAAATTGGTCTTAGTACAACATACCAAATGGCTGAAAATTTTTAAAACCGGCCAATAACCACGCCTACATCCCATATAACGGTAATTTAGAGAAATACGAAATCTTCGAAAAATCAGTAAATACCAAAGTTAATTTATCCAAAATTGATGTTTGCAATAATTCTTCAGCACAAAATACGTTTGTGATAAAATTTTGGAAATTATGATCACATATCGTTGGCTTAGTTTGCAAACGTGCTAAGTCCACTTTTTATGTAAATTGAGATTTTGATGCAGTAAGATAGCATAACTGAAAATACATCATTACCAAAAAAGAAAATTACCGTAATGTCGTTTTTACTTGTTGTTATACATTGGTACGCTAAGTCCAAAAAAACCAAAAAAAAAAATATATATACACGTCTGTCCGTGTACACGATAACTCGAGATATCTCAACGAAATTTGGTATGTAGGTTGCCCTTTATCCAAGGTAAGTTGGTATTAAAAATGGGCGAATCGGAATGTAACCACGCCCATTTCCGATATAAAGGTATTTTCTAAAAATGCAAAAACTACGATATTTCAGTAAATATTGGATGCAAATTGTTCAAAATTAGTATGTGAAGTAGAATTTTTGTAAAAAATATTATTATAATTTTTGGAAAATGGGCGTGACCCCGCCCACCTATTATGAAATGCTGTATCTCAGTAGCCCATTCACCAATCTCCACCAAACTCGTTACGAGCCTTATTTAGGGTCTAGCTAAGAAATCTGTTAAAAATCTAATTCACTTAAAATCGATCGCGATAACCACTCTGCAGAAAATAAGATTATCATACATTTTTGGATAATGGGCATGGCGCCGCCCACTTATGACCACAAATGTGTAACTCGGTAACCGATTTATCAATTTCTACCAAACTCGGTGCACTTAATAAACCTGGTACGGAAAAGCAATTCGTTGAAAATTATTCAAATCGGACCAAAATTACATTCGCTTCCCGTATATCTAACGGTAAATTTCAAAAACACGGAAACTCTGATATTTCAATAACTGAAGACGCTAATTTTACTTCAAGTTAATACTTACAACAATCTCTTAACAATAAATAAGACTGCGTGACACCGCCCACTTTATGACTACAAGGTGTATTTCGGTAGCCACTTTAGCGATTTCCACTAAACGTGGTTCAATTATTTCATTGAGTTTAACTCAGGATATTTTTGAAAACGTTTAAAATCGGGAAAAAGCCCCTGCTTACGACAGTATTTGATACGGGTATATAAAGTTCGGTTTCGCCCAAACTTATACCTCTTTACTTGCTTTTAATTATTTTCTTTTATAAATGGTACATAAATTTACGACTTAAAATAGTTATTTTTGTTAATAGCAATGAAATAAAACTGTATNAGAAAATGTGCTCAGTTAACATTAAAAGAATAAAATCTTAGAGAGAAAGTGTGGTAAGTCCTAAAAGAGCCTATAAGTCTGCAACAGCTTTATTTGGAAATTGGCCGATTATTGGTACTAAAACAAGATGAACTAAGGAATAAAACTGCATTTACAGATTAGAAAAATATTGAAAACAAAAAAAGTTAGACGGTTTTTTGTCCCTCCTGAAAAAAAAAATGGACTTAGCACGTTTGCGAACTAAGCCAACGATATATGTATCTCGGTAACCGTTCGACCAATATGTACCAAACTCGGTATGATTATTGTGCTTGCCGCATAACAGCAAAACGCTGAAATTATTTAAATCGGACTAAAATTACGCCCACTTTTTATATAACAGTAAATTTCAGAAATGCTTGAAACTTCGATATTTCGAAATTTAAGGAGGCTAATTTACATAAAATTGATACTAACAACAGTCCCTTGAAAATAAGTAGCATTATTATGGAATTTTCAAAAATGGGCGTGATACCGCCTGCATATAACTACATAAGTTTATCGAAGATGTTTGAAATAGGGATAAATCTACCCCTGCTTACCAAGTAGCGGTAGTTTTCGGAATGGTGAAAAAACTATATTTGATACTTGCGCCGGTTATCTAATGTTCGGCTTCGCCTGAACTTAGACTTTTTTACTTGTTTGTTTTACTTTTATTTGGCATTTGGCAAACTTCAAAAAATAAATGATGGCCGACGAATTGAGCGAGCGGTTTTACCTTTAAATATTTGTATCATGTGCGTTTAAAACAAGGTGTTGTTGACAACTCACTGCGGCTATCTTTTAAGGTACTATGTTGTCAAAAAATATAACCAACGATTCAAAATTCATACAAATTTTTTGCAATTTGATTTTATATGATGGTTCTTCTGAGAGCAATGTCAAATTCAATCACACTTTGTTAAATACATTTTGATCTCTACCAAATAATATACTTCTTCTGTAAATATTTTGTGAAGTGTTCCAAGATTCTCTCCGTGCGTGTTCACTGTTGATCATTTGATTTAAATAATTTGTCAAACAATTAATACTCTAGTTTGATCGGAGTTAATATTATCTTCAGTAATTAATCATACTATATTAAAACATAAGCTTATTATAGGAGAGAAATTATTTAGTCTTAATATGCAAACAGCAAAACGACCATCGTTGAGTGCAGACGTATTTTTCGCAGCTCCGTCGCGTTCATAACCATTTTACGTGCGCGATGTGTTTGTGTTTCAATTGTAACTCGCTGTGTGCGAGCGGTGATTTTATTACTTGTGGACTTTGTTCGCAGAAGTTTCATTTAAAATGTGCAAAACTAAATTCCGCTTGCCTCAAAGTAATCAAATCTAATAAAAATCTAATATTCAGATGTGACACCTGCAGCTGTATATCTATTTCGTCCTGCTTGGCTAAGATTAGTAATGCTTTCTGTTCACTAAAAGAAATATAAACTGCTTTTGGAGGACATTCCAACCTGCATAATCCAGAATATCCAAAAAAAAATTCGAATATATCGCACGTTTATATCGACAATGCTGCTAGCAACATTGCGCCTGGTAATGATACAGCTGATAATAACAATTTGATTATTACGCGTTCAAAAGCTAGGGTCGCTGACCTTAATAAGTCGCCCTTGAACGTTAATTCTTTAACTTCTTTTGCTTCTGCTGCTTCCTCCGCTGGTGCCATTACAACCAGTGTTGCCACTGGAGTTTAGTTTTAGGTACCAAAACGCCTACCAAATCAGTTTCCAAACTACCAAATCTTTGTTCATTATTAAAACGAGATTTCTTGCATGTACAGGGTTTTTAGCTACACGAATTGGCAGTATAATATTGTTTACAGTATTGGTTAACCATTCATGCTTCGGGCTTTTAAACAAAAGAATTAACGCATTGCGTAAAAAAACTTTTGTAAAAATGTGATTACCTTTGAGGCTAATTCAATTCATATTAAACATTTTTAATGTTAAAAAAACAAAATCAGACATTTTATGCATTTCAATAAAACAAAATTCCAAATCTTGTTTCAATTTGCATACTCTCCCCCTTTTTCTACCAATAAACTCACACTTTGCAAATTGCATATCACCAATTTTTCTTTCAAGACGATAGCCAATTTTTCGTTCAATTTCAACAGATGATCGATCATAGCTTTGGGAAGTGAGTTTTTGTTTCTAGAAAATTATGTGCTTAGTAAAATTTAGAAAAAACAAAAAAAAAACTTATACGTGTGAGCAAAGTGAAAGTAATGTTTTCAACATGTAAACGCAAAGTGAACAAATTTTAATGCCAAGTTCGATTGAATTTTCAAAACATTTTTGCCTGCCAAAAGCTTCATCAAACCAACCAAACTACCAAAGGAGAATGAAGCTACCAATTTTGGTCCAATTGGACCAAAACGGCAACGCTGATTACAATTAACGCTCTCACTGCCGACGTTGTTACTGCGTGCTCTGCTAACCCAATAGGCATATGCTCGCCAAGCATGTGCACAGTCAACGAAACTGTGACGCTGTCTCCTCGCAATACCTCTTTGGCTGCTGATAACTCATCGGTTGCTGCGCATGCCATTGGTACTTCGGCTGCTGATAATGATAATCGCTCGGCAACCAATGGTGAATCAACAGAGATTAGTGACAAAAACTCAAATAACAATGCTGCGTGGACTGAAGTGAAAAACAGAAGGTGAAGGAAGCCTTTGGTTGTTGTTGGCTCAAATGATAGCACTGAGCTAAGTGTCGCTGTCCGCAATAAATGGTTACACCTATCATCGTTTGAGCCGAAAGTTAGCGCTGAAGACATAAAGAAATATGTAGCTAAACATGCTGGTATTGATGCTGATTCTCTCTCTTGCTACATGTTGGTTAAAAAGGATGACCCAGTAGACAAACACAAGCGAGTCAATTTCAAACTGGGCGTCTCATCGGTAAATTATCAGAAGCTATTAAGTTCGTCACTATGGCCGGCTAATGTAAGAGTTAGGCCATTTCGTTTTTTTCAAAAGCAAACAGCTCAACAACAACAAATGTGACGATAAACAATTGCCGT